AAGAATTTGTTCAATCAGTGGCTTCGGACTCACTCCAGATTGATTTCTATCATTGATTCAAACGAGACATTATTCATGCGTACGCTGCCAGATAAAAACCAATGGTGCATGCCGAAAGACAAAGGGGTTTTGCTCATTCCTCTGTGTTCTTTGTAAACGGCTTCCTCTTTTTCCCTATTTGTGTCCCATGTTTCCTATTATTTTTTATTCTTATTCCATTGCAATCATGCTTATTACAGATGAATATATATATATTTATAATTATATATATTTATATATATATATAAATATATATATATGTATATATATATATGTATATATGTATATATATATATATGTATATATATATATATGTATATGTATATATATATTTATATATATATATGTATATATATAATTGCTAATAATAGTACTTTTGCTTACCGAAGAACTCACTGTTATACCCTTTTCGTCCCTGTTCACCAAAAACATCGCGAACGTGCGCGACAAAATGATGAATTAATAAATGGAATAATATATGTGTGTTACGCTAGTTAATGAGTTCAAATGTGATTTTGTTATTCGGATAAAATACTGCTAATTCCTTCATTGTATCCCTGTACCATTGTTAGAAATATTAAGTGAGCCATTCATTGGCAGGAATGTGTGGGCAATCGCACTTAGTTAAAAAGTAGCTGCATTATTCGACAAGGTAATTTACTCACTAGGCTATTGAGGGCCTACACTGAACACAATCATGCAATAAAGCATTTCAACATTTACACCTGAGCGTGGTGACCGATTTATTGATCTATCTTGACATGATTCGCTTCCTTACCTGACCGATCGAGGTCCACTACTACCGAGTTCGCTTATTCTCATCTATGACTCACTGGATCAACGATCACAGACATCGTTCCCGGGTTGGAAGACGAATATTCAAACCCCACTTCACTGCAACTTTTAAGCTCGCTCGGTAACTCACGCAAAAATGAATTTTGTTTGCAATTAAAGAAATCAATTTATTCCACTGGACAGTGTTTTGATTAATTCGGTGCAATCAGTGAAGTGTGACGGTGGATGCTTCTTGTGGAGTTCTCGGAAGAATGTTATTGGTTAGATTCACTTGAAATCACAACGGTTTCACTTGAAGTTGAAAGAGTATAGTGCAAACGACTTGCATCCTAGCAGCTAATCATAGAAGGGGCAATTCCGTTTTACTCGAAAAAGGAGTATCAATTCCATATGATCGCATTGATGGGTAGTACAAACATTTCAATCAGAGCACTTCACCCTATTTGTCATTTTAGCAATTTACGGTTCCTTAGGAGATTGTATTTTGCAGGTTTTATAGTGCTTATCAGTTCTATTCTTCTCGCTGGTCCACTGGTTGCATGTTTTTTCCTGAACATATGGTTTCTTCGAGTACCAATCAACTTTGATAACTAAGTAATCGATTACGGTTGAGATTTTTCTTTTACTGTTTTCTAGTGTGAAGTTTCTCGAATGAGCTGTTCCAGCAATTTTGCTGTTGTGGACCGTGCTACGGATGATTCCTTACCAAAATCGTTCGATAAGAGATGTAAGACATTTTCCACGAAGCTCAAGGGTAAGTCGACTGCTATCCATATCACCGAACTCATTTGTATGAACGCAAATCTTTTGCGGCTCTTTCCGTCTAGCTTATTCCGGTGAAAGCATTTGTTTGCTTGCCACTGGTTTTCTCATGCGCTAATTAGTTCAATTTTATCTGTTCTTGGGAGCGGTCTCGTGTGATCAGGAATAGACACCATTGTCAAATTCAAATCGTTTCAGTCGTAAACATTTACATAGAAAAGTGAATTTAAGTCAACTAAGTCCAACAGTCAAATTATGATGTTAGGGAAGTGAAAAACACACAAGCATGCATGCGTCGTGTGACCAAATCGTGGTCTTATGACGTCATAATTTTCCTCAGGCGCGATTTGATCTGCTTGTAGCCAAGGTAAAGGCAGCGCTTGGTTCGATTTTTTTTGACAGCACAGATTTTGCTATTGCAGTCGTAGATGATTCACCTCAATATTTGTCAGTATTACAAATCGAATCACCCTTGTGGGTGTTCAGTGAAACGCATAGGGTGACAAGTCACTCTAAGTTTTATTGGTTATTCACCGCATGGTATTTTGTAATGACAGAATAAACTGAGTTGAGCATTCACAGTTTGCTTGAATTGTTCGGCTCAAAAACTTTAAATTTTACGTTGACATTCAAAGAAACAATGCATAGTTTTCATTTCAGAGCACTGAGCATTTTTTCAATCTACAATCTCTACTGAACATGTTTCTTCATAGTCCTTTTAAATCATGAACGTTGCGATGAAATCCATACTGCATGTGGTGAGGAATTATTTAGGTATTGCGGACCATTATATATTTAATTTACAGTGGGCATAAACATCCATCTTCAGTGATTTTGTCATGGCGGAGAAGAACTGTATGGAACAGCTAAAAGGCTCATATCACTACTAGCATGATGCTGTCTTTTGGCTGCCCATTTGGATAAAACAGCAGAATGAAAATTGGAATGTTGATAGCAGAGCCAGATGGGAGATAGAGAACTCGTATAGACTGGGGTTGCAAGAATACTAGGTAGATGCACGAGCGCCTCTGTTTGCGACACTCAGTGTCTCTAAACATCGGTTACCATTATCTCGGGGTCCAGATCCAGGGAGGTGAACGAGACCTATGTGACTGGGTCTCCAGTTAGGGTCTTCATACCCTCATGACAGGTCTTAGTTTCACCGTCCTTGACCCTTTCTCCAACCACTGCCAACCTTGGCAAACATCGCTCGTGGTGGCAACCTATTTGGTGACATGCGCAGCACATGCTCCAATCAGGGTAGTCTAAGGAAGTCGACCACTTGCTCCGGTGGACGACCGCGATTACCTGAAACTCTGCGCATAACCTCGGCATTGCTTGTCCGGTTTCCCCACCAGACTCGTGAAACTTGACGTAGACAGCGATGTTTGAACACCGACAATCTACTTCTATCCTGTTAGCGTAGTGGCCAAGTCTCTGCAGCGTAAAGTAACACGGGCCTAACTGCTGGAGCATACACCCGACCCTTCACGGATAGCTGGATCTCGTGATGGCGATACAGATGTCTCAAGTTGATAACCGGACCTCCTTGTATATGTGCCGACACTTCATCTGTGATGCGTCCGCCAGGTGAGATATAGCTGACCACATAGCCAAACTTGTCCACTTCCTCTACTACGTCCCCAGTCAGGGTGATGCTGAGGGCTGAATGAGCCCAATCTTGTAGCAACGTTTTACACTTTGAAGACGCAAAACGTATACCGAAGATGAATACACTAGCACTCAAACCATAGAGAAACGCTCGCTACTTACCTGGATCTTTGATTAGCAGTACAATGTCATCTGCGTACTCCAGATCATATAGTCTACCACCTGGGAGTAAATCAATGCTGCTATCCAGGTATGAAGATAGGGCTGTCTAAACCCTATTGTGAATGAATAGAGGACGTCGGACATTTAAGTGATGGGGGTTTTCTTGAGTTCTTCCGTTCTGCATGTGAAGACCTCTATTTAAACTTCGGGTTATACTTAATTGTTTTGGCTTGAAGTATAGATAAATGTGGTAACTAGGAAGGTGGTCAAAACAGGAGATTGGTTTTATAATCGTGTTCAGCAATACAGTGAAGTTGAAAGTAGTGGTGCAGATTACGGTTCAAGTTCCAAATGTCGGCTTCCGTCCTTTTCTCCTCTTTCTCTACTTTAGTCATTTACTCGTTCGCATAGAACAGCTTGGGGCACAAAATAAGAAGCTTGACCGGGCTTATACGTAAACAGCACACGGGGCCGATCAGGTCGCTCAACAGTGCAATGGTCTCACACCTAGCCAAAAAAGTTAACAGGGAAGTGATTTAGGTATTCAGTTCCGTGTAGGTTCCCTACGAAATTTTTTGCCTAAAAGCGACTTGTGCAAGAGCCTAAATTCCGTAGATTCATTGTACAATGAAAACGATGAATCTTGATGATCGTATGGACTAATAATTATATTCGGATAATCTTCAATACGAGCCATCCGGTAAAGTGCTAACACACGTTTTCCATAGCAGAAATCCAGTGTTCGAAGCGTGTGTGGATACAATCGAAGTTCTAACACTGCGCCTAGGCTGCGTAGCACGACTTTGACGGAAAGATAATGCCGAGGTTAGGTGAAGAGTAGAGTACCAACGCAATTACTTAACTTCCATAGAGTACGGTGACAGAGACACGTGTCACGCATGTATCAAGAAAAAAAGCCTTCAGGTTTACGATGAGTGTCGAGGAAGACAGTTGTTGGGCCACAGATGAGGATGGTAGCACCATGATCTGGCGTAAGGGTATAAAAATCCTGATGCGACGACTTGGTCAACTTGATCAAGTTGGGCTTTTACGTTGGAGTGTTCGTGTTGGACCTAAACAGTAATTAGAGACACAGAGTGATAGGATTGAGTGTCGTCCGCAGTGGCGCTCGTGCATGCACTTAATGACCCTACACTGCACTAAGCTTTTTACTGGTTCCATTTATTACTCCTTCATTGATCTATCAACGGGTGGCTGAAAGACAGCAACCAAAAGCGGTACACAACAAAACAAGATCAATATATATGCACATTGAACTAAAGTGAACTGCGTTAGAGGATATTCATCACTGATAACCTCATGTGAATGCAAAACCCTAATGTGATGCGTCCCCAGTGAGTGGATGAACTTTGGATATTAAATAAATATGAAACACGAAGACTAGTCAGTCAAAGTTAAACGTAATGTTTCTTGAGAATTGTCCCCGAATTCAACAAAGAACCATTAGTGGGTTTTAATTCTCGCACTACACACACCTTACCAAGGGTGTGATGGTGATTTATTTTGTGTCGTAGAGGATAACAAATAATTGACGTTTTCACCATTCCACTTTATTTAAGACTTTTTCCAGGGATCACTGGATAAATTCATTAATATTTTCTGCATACACGTCAAGGGATAACCTGATAAAATTTACTCACGTTTTCATCGGTCATGGTAGTCATATCCACAGTTTTGATCATCTCAACGGCACCACTTATATCCCAATTCAGTTTCCTTGCCAACTTTTTCACCAGCTTACCAAAAGCTTTGAAAGCGATCCGTTTCTCAGATTGCAACTTCTCGATTTCTCCTTTCAGTTTTGTGTATCTTTGTTTTAGCATGTAATCCATGGTTTTGAGTTGCGCAAACTGATCATCCACATCTTTGATGTGTGCCTAAATCGAGGAATAGTCGCATTTGTGAAAACTGAAAGAGGACTCAATGTTTTCTCGGAACGATAAGATATGAGCGCAAGGTGACGAGAGCAATCAGCGGACAGACTCATAGTACCTGCTGCAAAATGACTTTACTATTGTATGCTAATGGAATCCGGGAAAAAAGGCATCTGTAACAACGGGTCCCAGCAAAATTTTACTTTAATAGCGTTGACAAGTGTTCTTTGGATCGATCGTTTGTTTTACCGCATCAATTGTTTTTAAGATTGGTCCGTGTTTCGTTTGTTTTTCAAATCGGACAGAGACAAACTGATTGGTTCAAGCTTATATATAAACGCCTGTGATGCCCTTTCCAAATGTGATTTGTGTCCGGTGCATTTAAAAAATATATCGCGAGTACTTCCTGAAGAACCGAACTTTTACAATAACTATTTCTGTCTTTCACAAATCACGTTTAAAAATCGTTTCTTAAGGTAACTGATCATACTGAAATCCGATATTACTCATGGTTAAACCGAGATGTTAGTGAGAAGTTGTAGGTTCTGCGTTTACAGTGCTAAGAATTGTGCAGCTAATTTTGTGTATTAGGAAGCGTGATAAAAAAGACAGGAGAGTCATCAATGCTCATTCGCCGATTAAAACATTGATACCACTGCTTTTTATTTTAGTTTATGACCAACGAGATGCATCATCTGTCTTGCTCAACCGAAACAGTTGGAAGGAAAAGCCGGGGCATACGGACGCGTTAGCTTTACCAAACCTCCAAGCTAGATACTAACTCCGTGTCCAGAAACCACTAACCATAATGAGTCACCTCAGTCACCAAGTAGTGCCATATGATATGTATTACTTGTACACTTGTATTGAGCAAGGCGATATCATTAGCAGTCGATAGATAGAAAACTGCATTATCTGAATGACGCTCTACTTCACGTGAAGTTAGGCGGGGAAAATTCTCTGATGGCTCTGTAGTTCAGCCCAACTTAATGGGTGCAGCTATAATGTTTGAAAACTGAACTGTGGTTTGGGGGAGGGATTCTATTCATCAACAAACAATGCGAGCTAGTGGACTTATGAACAGAGTAAGCGATAACTTGTATATCAATTAGCACTACGAATAGCTGGCCCTTAAAGTATATGATGACAAGGCAGTGGTTGCCGGCACTAAAGACCCTGTCTTGGTCGAACTGTGACAATCATCATCTCGTATATCCTCTCTGCTCTATCTCCAAGAAATCCATCATAGAAGAAAGCGGCTTGGATGGTCCAAGTAAAAGCAGTGGGATGGGTTTTTCAATGTAGCAGTATTGACTTGGCCGCTTAGATGGATAGATCTGGTCAGCATTGAGCAAATACTTTTTATAACTGTAAGGTGTAAATAATGCATGCTGCTTCATTTTTTGAAATCTCTATCACAAAAAACTACGTATTCTTCATTCAGGAATAAATATAAACAAACTAACTGGGATCATAACTAATGTACTAATATGGTAAATCCTCGATAGCATTTCAATCACCAGTAATGTGTTCGGATTCTGATTCTTTGTTCTGGATAAACAACGCGATAAATGCACTTTCGTGAATTGCACTTGTGTGTGCCGCAATTTCTGATGGGACATACATCTTAATTCATATGCGGATAACAAGGCTAGTTGCAGGTGAATCCAGTTACAGGGAATTCAGGGAACACGAACCGTTTCATTCGGAGTAGGCAAAATGCCATATAGATAGGATAACGAACTCCCAAACAATGAAGATCCTTTTGATCAGTAGGATGCAATGCATCAGTCATAACCCCCACAACTGAACGTAAAACCAAGGCGCGGGAAGTGCAGCTTATTCTTACAACAGTAGTCTACAATCTGATGCACTCAATGACTTCAAGCTCCCGAAAGGGAGCTTTGAGACTCAGGTGGTATATAAACTGCACTTTTGGGGCTCAATCTTCTCCGTTAGAGACTTTAGTTTGAATCATCTAACTAGTCTAATTTTAATTTCAATTTTACAGCTCGTGCACCTATTTACCTTGAATGAGTTGTGGTTGCCATTTAGAGATTGGAATGAAATTACATCCATTCTCTGCTTTGTGCACGAAGTCGAAAAATTAAAAATATTCCAATAAGTGCATGTGAAGGGAGTGAAAAAGGAAATCGGGTCTACCAATTCTATATTCATTTGGTAACACGATCATCTTTTGTCCGCTTCAACTGTAAGTAGTACACAGAGTGGCAGATCAATGCAAACATTGCGTAACGGTTCAGTTAACAAAATGATTGACCGTAATACATGGGACTTGATGCACGGTCTCTCATTATCTAAATCGCATTATAAAGCTATGGTCATCTGCGAGAAGAAACACGGTGGCATTTGAAGATAACTGGTTACTCCAAATAAAGAATTTGGCGAAAAAGCTTAATTTGTGGTGACTGTTTTCCACTGACTACATTACCAGAGAGGAATCGTAACACTCAATTGTCGAGGGAGCATTTTCCAATTTGCTGTGGGTCGTCATAGCTAAAATCAACGTTCGGCTCACTGAACTTTAATCAAATGTGAAGAAGCTAAAACAGATATTATGTACTCGTGCATTGGGTTGTGATATGATGCAAATGAGTATAGCTAACCTTTTAAAGGATGAATACTTGGGAATGACATACGACAGAATACTGGGGTATGATTTGTTAACACAAAGCAAGCACAACGGTAGAGTGGTTATATATGTATATGTGTGTGATTCTGAATGAAAGTATGGGAAGACAGTACACCAATTACACTTATCATTTGCCGACTTGTCGATGCATATCACGCCTTTTATATCGCAAAGACCAGATCTGTTTACACTCGTTATGTCTCTTACAGTGAGCAACTACGAATAATTTGAGTATTGTGAAATTTGGCATCCTTGAACCAAAAATCCGAGGACCCACAAAAGTTTGTGGGTTTGGGGTATATTAAGCTCAGTTTTCCACCCCTTCCATTTGATTTGGTATTTCGGTCAGCGACATCGGTGAATGTATTCAGGTGCATGACTAACATTAGCATTTGTCTTACTGGTTTTATCGCCCAATTGACCGTATTCTCGTCCCTTTGTAATAATAGTACGAATAGGGTTAATTATTGCTGACAACACTTGGTTTCTCTGTGGTTTTCATCAGGTTTTTGTCAGTGAAGCGTTAGTCATTCTCGTACTGGCCAAATTTCCCAGAATGCAAAGTTTTGTGCTCGTCTCACTAGGTGTTTTATCCTATCCATCTGTCTTAGGCTGCTGGCCAAGTAGCACAAGTTAACATTGCAGGGGTCAAATCCGATCGCCATTGTCTAACTTCCCCACGTATGAATGCACCCAGATCCACTGTAATCCCTTTACCGAAATTTAACTGTATCGTTGTATATTAAATGAATAAAAAATGACAATGGAAATTATCATTAATATTATAGTAGCTGGCCAGTACCATGAGGTAATACTGAGTTGTAATTGCATTTGCTTTAATCGGGTAGTATTCTCTACTGCGGTTTCCTTCAGACACCCAGAAAAACTGTTACATTCTATTTATCTGTTTTCGTTGGTTTCCTATCCGCCTGTCTACGGATTGCACAAACAAGCATACCCATGATGTCAAAATGGCATACACTCGAGAGACAAAAGATGACGAACTTCTGTTAATATCAAGCCTTTGCCTTTGAAATCATTGATGACGAACCAGTGATACCAAACAATTGAGGTAATACTGAAGACGGACACAATACCTATACAAGAAAATTCACCTGCCTTGGCCTGGGCAACCTGGCTGTATTCAGACCACAAGCCAATCATGGAACGTTTCTTTTCTTTTTTATAAAGATTACTGCACCATGATTTGCCTAGCACACAGTCTATCCTCAGACACGTGTGAAATATAGTAATATATATACTTACACATGTACCAAATCACCTGCACCACTATCTAACTGGTGGACTTCACAATCACAACTAATCACGAATGACGTACTTCAGCTGCCTCCAACTTGGCTTTGAGCACGGAGTTCTGCACAGTGATTGTATCCTTTTCGCACCGGAGTTTTATCGTTTTC